GACCGCGGGGTCGTAGGTGAGCCACCTCGCTCTGCGCTCCTGCTCCTCCTTGTAGAGCACTGGCTCGAGGCCTGCGGCTTGCTCAGCACGAACTCCGTCAGGATCCGTAGCAGGCCCGTCCTCAGGTGGACGTCCGGGTTCACGGAAGCCCTGACTCCCGTCCTCAGCTGGAGGACGCTTCGGGGGTTGCTTGCCACGCAACCTTCTCTTCTTGGCATCAGGCTGGCTCTCGACTGGGAAACTGTCAAGTGCACCGAGACCTTGGGATACGTGCGTGTCGACGTCGAGGTCCATCTGCTGCCCGATGGCGTGTAGTGCCGGCCTGTCCAGCTTGTCGGGCCACTTTGCCGCCGCTCTTGTCTTCTTCTGGTTCTCCAACGGCAGGTGGTAGTGGTCCCTCGTGCACTTCTCGCCCTGCAAGGCTTCATAGATCGCCGCGCTGGTGGTCAAGGACCTCATCGGCTTGTAGTGCGCGCCCTTGGTCTCTTCATCGGCGTAGCCGAGCTGGCACCCGTGCGGAGTGCACTCCAGTAGGAGGCCCTTCTTCACCAGCTCCTGCGTCTTCGCCATCTCGGGCTCGAAGTAGGCACTCGACCCGAGGGGCTGCTCCATCAAGACGTGCATCCCGCGCTTCACCCGGTCGGCGACGATCTGGTCCGAGAGCATGAGTAGTGGCCTCGTCGCTTCCCGAGCTTCTTGAACAGTAGCAGCTGCAGCGCCGCCCGCGGACAAGTTGCATCGACCCCACTCCCCCCGCGGACCGCAGGGCATGGTGATGACCGCCCCGTAGGGGTCCTCCTCCAGCAATTGCCTCCGCGCCGCTTGGCGCCCCTTCCTGGTGGCGCCGTCCCAGCCGTCTTCGATATCCAGTGGCTGGCCGCAGTTGTAGCCGAAGGTGGCGGAGGCGAGTAGAGCGAGGCCGAACTGGCCGCAGAAGAGTTGCTTCAGCAAGGTCTTGCCCCTAGGTAGCCTCCGCTTCCTGTCGATATTGCCCGTCGCGATGTCGAGCGCCCTGGACTCGATGGTGCGCAAGTCGTCATGCATGGCCTTCATATTCTTAGCACGCCTGGAGCTGGCCATCCTGATGGACCTGTCGCCGTCCCAGTCGATCTCGCTGGGGTTCTCGGAGACCGTCTCCGTCGCCATAACCTCCGCGGTCGGGGTCGCGATCTCCCCCTCCGGGCACTCCACCATGTCGAAAACGCCGCCGAGCCCGTCCTCGGCGATGTAGACCTGGAACTCGGGGCCGAAGACCCCGGGATCCGGGAAGCCCAGCAAGCTGACGCCCAGGTGGCCGCCGCTGGTCTTGAATAGGGGGACGTTGTAGGCGCCGATCTCGGTGAAGTCGGCGACCGCGTTCGCCACGTCGATCACCGCCCCTAGCTTCGACTGGGTGTCCTTGGAGATTAGCGGGGGGGCGTCCTGGTCGAGCTCCGCCGACTCGATCGCGAACGGATTGTTGGCGATGCCAGCCGGCATGTTGTAGACCGTATCGCTGTACGCATCGCCGTCGACCCCTCGGAACATGGTCTGCTGGGGCCTGGGAATCGGCTTGAGCTTCCGATCGAGTAGCTCCTTCTCGTACCTGATCCTCCAGGGCGTGCCGTGCACGGTCATCTGGCAGGCTGTGTCAAGCACGGCGGTGCCAGGCGGGCCCCTGAAACTGGAGCCGTAGACCTCGACGTCGTCCTTGGAGCCGTTGACCATCAGCACCTGGAACGACCCGTCCTCATGCTGAGAGGGGGGGTCCCACTCGCCCAGCGCCATCAGGTAGATAAAAACCAGGCTAAGCGGTACTGGTCGACGGTAAGCCGAGTCGAGTCGCTGGACATCGCGCGCCTGATGAGAGCGTTGCCATACGCGCGTGCAGCGTCACCGCCGTCAACGAACTCGGAGAACGTGTAGCCCCTGTACTTGCCGGCCATGATCTTCTCACCGCCGAGTGGTACCTGCTCGGTATCGAGGCCCTTGACGTCCTGGTCAAAGTCCGCGGGGTACGCCACGTACACGCTGTCCTCCTCCTCAGGCCTGCCCAGCTCGTGCGGGTAGTCCTCGACCCTCGGGGCGCGCTCAAGCTCCTCGTGGCCATGAGGTGCTTCCAGAGCTCCTCGCCGCTAGACCTGTGGGCCTTGGCCACGTGGATGCCGACCCGGTTGGGCAGGCACCTGTGGCAAGTGAGGTGCCTGTGCGTCCCGTTCGCGCCCTTGAACAGTCTAGGGTCCGCCGCCAGCGCGTGCTCGCAGGGCTCCGCCATGCCTGGAAGTGACTGGCCTCGCCTCCTCGGGAGTCCCGCAGCTCCGTCGTCCGCGCTGGCCTTGAGGGTCCGGTCACCTTCCTTACCTCCTTGAGGGTTGCCGCGTGACCTTGCCTTGGGCTTAGGGCGGGCGCCGAGCCCAGTAGGTGGGGGCGAAGCCGCCAACGCCACGAAAACCTCCGCGATCCTGACCTCGCCGGTCTTGGAGCCGTCGCCCTTGAAGTCGCTGAAGCTGAAGTAGCTGTTCTTCGGCCTGCCCGACGGTGGCGCCGCCGATCTCGATGACTTCGGGCAGCCCGGGCCCCCGTGCCAGTGCCCGATCTGCCCGCAGCTGGCGCACCTCGTAGTCCGCTTCAATTTCTCGATCCTGGCACGCCGCTCACCGTTGTCACCGGGAGCACTTCCACCTCTGGCTCGATCCCTCGAGCTCGAACTGCCTTCGCCGCGACCTCCGCCGTTGCGTCCTCGACCTCCCTTCCCGCGACCGCCGCTGCGCGCCTGGAACCTCTGCTTGTTCTGGACGATCGCCGCGAAGCTCTCCGCCGCCTCCGGGCCCATCTCGTCGATCTCCTCGAGAGTGGCCTCCTCCTTGCCCAGGTAGACCTCTTCTTCCAGGGGCTGGTCGTCGTAGGAGTTGTCGAGCTGGTGGTCGTTGTCGTCGTAGTGCTCGTGCTCGTCGTCGCGCTCGGCCTGCCACGCCTGCCGCTGCCTGTACTGGCCCTGCTGGAACCTCTGCGGCTTCGGGTCCGAGCGGTGCGCTTCCTGCTTGCCATCCTTCCGGTAGTTCCGCTCCCGCTCGTGGGCACCCGAGTGCTGCATGCGCAGCGCCTTGGCGAACGCCTCCTTGTCGCACTTGTTGCCCGCGCTGCTGACGACGCTGGCGTGGTCCGACTTGTCGAGCCCGCTGAACTTCAGCAGCAGGCAGGCCTGGAGGTCGTCCGAGATGCTGGTCTCCTGCGAGACCTTCTTGAGATCGTCGAACGCCTTGGTCCGCCTCGTGATGTACTCCTGCATGCTCTCGCCAGAGCCTCTCCGCACGGATTTGTCGCATAGCGCGCCGTCGAAGAGCTCTGCCGCGCGAACAGGTCTCTCCTTCAAGACCGACTCGCCGAACACCCGCAGTAGCATCTCCAGGCCCGCGGTGGTCGCCTTCTTGCGAGTGATCGTGCCGCCGCCCTTGCCACCGCTCTCGAGGGTCTCCTCCTCGTACGTGAGCAAGTCGTCGTGCTTCAGCGACCTCACGGCGTCGTAGGCCGTGCCCGAGAGACCATTCCTGAGGTTGACTGGCGTCGCGATCTGCTTTTCGTCGCCCATGCGACCGTAGAAGGCATCCTTAGCCCGCTCCTGATACTCCTCGAACAGCGCTGGGTCGCCGTCGTAGAGCGGGATGTCCTTCTCGAAGGTGAGGCGCGAGGCTCGCGCCATGACACCTCTTGGAGTTGCAGTGGTGCTGCTCGTAGTGCTGCTCGTGGTGCTGCTGGTTGCCAGGGCAGCAGCGATCGAGCTCGTGATGATGGCGGACGCGATGCTGCAGCGCCGCCGGTGCCAGACTCCGCCCTGGTAGTCCAGCCTGTGCAGGTCCGCCACAACCTGCGCCGTGGTGCCGAGCCCGCTCCCTGCAGGCCAGGCCAGCAGCCCCAGCCACGGGGCGCGCCAAGCAGTCCCCCGCGAGCCGCGGAGGCGGGAGCAGACCGTGGCGAACCAGTCCGCTCCGCTTACCATCAACTGACGGCTGCCGCGGTCGAGAGAAAACTGAAAGTCTTTTCTGCCCGAGACTCAAGAGCTCTGAAACCGAAACGGTTGCGGTCGAATCGGCGTCGGCGTGAGAGGGGCAGCTCGGGGGGCCAGGGAGACAGTGTCCATTTCAACATCCTCCTCCTCCTCCTCCTCCTCCTCCTCCTCCTCCTCCTCCTCCTCCTCCTCCTCCTCCTCCTCCTCCGCCTCCGCTCCGGCCTCCGCCTCCAGCCTCCCCTCCGCCTCCGCCTCCGCCTCCTCCTCCTCCTCCTCCTCCTCCTCCTCCTCCTCCTCCTCCTCCTCCTCCTCCTCCTCCTCGTCCTAGCGAACAGGGTCGGGGGCACCGGCCGTAAGGCCTTCGCAATTCAAAGATCCCCCACATCTTTCAGTGTCTTCCGGAGTTTCGTTTCCCCCATCCACCTCTCACGTCTTCCCGTGCTTCTTATGGGCATCGACGAATGTGTTGTTGGTGCCCGTGCTTTTTCCCCCCGAGTCCCACCCGCGTGCTTCGCCAGGGGGGGGGGGGCAGGAAGTTCCCACTCGCCCGGGAGCGGGCGTCTCCCACGGTGGAGGGCCTCATCCTCGGCGTCCACCTTCGGCCGTCGAACCCCCGCCCGCGCCCCAGAGAACAGACCCTCCGGCGCGCGCAGGCGTCCCCAGATGCGCCTCCATGGCCAGGCTGGCCGTTTGGGCGGGGACGGTGGGGGGGGGGTTGGGGGGGGGGGGGGGGGGGGGCAAATCGGCGCGAGCGAAGGGGAAGTAGAAGGAGATAGAAGGACTCAGAAGGCTCGGAGGCCCCCTGGCCTTCCGAGAAGTTTTCTGAGCCCTCCCCGAAGACACAGCAAGACTTCTCTCAGAAGGCGCGAGGGCTTCTGAGAAGTCCCGCCGCCTTCTGAGAAGGCCTTCTCCTTCTCACTTCCCCCCCCTCGGCCGCCACCGGGGAAAAACACAGAGGGACGAAGTGGCAAAAGAGAGACCGACCACGTCGGGGAGGGTCGGAGAGGGGGGGCTCTCACCCCAGGGGAGCCAGGCCGGTCGAGGATATACGGGACGGGCAGGGAGAGATCGACGAGCTTTGAGGCCACCGCGTCTCCGTCTCGTAGGTCTCCACCGTCTCGAGCTCGATCTGGTCGAAGAGAGTCCCCAGCTCCTCGCTGCTCCTGATGTGGTCCGCGAAGGACGTCGCGTACTCCTCGCAGTAAACGTTACCGTACCTCGGGACGCCGAAGGACACACTGGTACGATGCGTCCCCATTGGGGGCGCACTTCCGAACCGAACATGCAGTACATACATCTTACAGCATATCGTTACCCAGGCGGCATGGCCAGAAAACGCCCGCCAACGAGCACACAATGTAAGATTTCTGGGCGCGCGCGCGCGTCGCCCCCTGGGGAGGCGGCGCATTGAGTATCAATATGTTTAGGTGATGCCGAGACCTCTGCTGGGTGATCGACTGAATGCTGCTGGCATAGTCTTGGAACTTCTCGAAGCGGATGGCGCCCTTCTCTGGGTGGATGATCTCGGTGCTGGTGTTGAACCCCACGGACCAGGTGGAGATGCCTGACACGGAGAACGAGGCGACTGTCTTCTTGTGCACGGACGCCAATACGTCCGCCACACGGCCGCCCACACCCCTCGGCACCGCGCCCGCCTCCTGGCACTTGAGCGTCTGCGCAGCGTTCTGCTGGTGGTTGTGGGAGAAGATGCCCAGGCACCGGTCCGCCTCGCCGTTCTTCCATCTCTCTTTGGTGGTTGGCTCCACCAGGGCGCCGACGTTGCTGACGAACGCGGCCTGCCTGCGCGAGTCGTAGAGCTGGTGCAGGAAGGGCATGGCGGGGTGCACGCCGAACGAGCTGCACACCTGTCCCGTCGTCGTCGTGGGTAGGAGGGCCGATTGGCTGACCCCCATGTTCGTGCGCGCCCCTGCATACTCGTTGTACAGTGGACACCCGATCGGCACGATCAGGTTGTAGGTGTCCGCTCCGCCGTGCAAGAACAGCATCACCACCGCCTTGTACGAGTCTGGCGTGTGTGACTCCTCCTCCGCCTGGTCCTCCCGGGTGCCGTTCGGCTGCGGCGACCCGAGGGTCTGGAATTCGGGCGTCAGCAAGATCGCCTGCTGCGCCCCCTTGAGCCCCGCGCTCGCGTACGCGGCCTCCACCACCTGTTTGTTGTGGGGCGTGAGGCGGCCGCCGGTGAGCAGCAGATCCAGCTCACCCACGGCCTCCTCGGCCGAGGAGCTGTTGGCGGCATATGCACATAATAAAAAAAAAAAAAAACACATGAGAAATCAAACCAAAAAATAAAAAACTACAACATAAAACAACAACAAAATACATGCCCCTTGTGGCACAAAAGCAAACGACATTACATAAGCAAGACAGAATTGTCCAGAAAAAAGTTTTGGATAAAACAGCAGAAAAGAAGAAAAAAAGCTAAAATAGACATAACACACAAAAAAAACGCCCCCCCATACCCCCCCCCCCCACCACTGGTCGCGTCACCCCCCACGACCCCTCCCCCCCAATGCATCGTGTCGTCACTGCCGTAGTTGGCGCCGTAGCTTCCTGTACTTGTCGAGAGCCGAACAAAAACCCGTGCCCAGCCGTCCTTGCAGATGCTGATGCCCTGGTGCAGGGCAAGGAGGAGAGGAGGAGCGGCGGATGGAGAAGGAGGAGGCGGAGGATGACGGGGAGGAGGAGGAGAGGCGGGAGAGGTCACGGAGGGGGAGAGCAGGATGCGGAGGATGGAGGAGGAGGAGGCGGAGGAGGAGGCGGAGGAGCAGAGGGGAGGGGGAGGGGGAGGCGGAGGAGGCGGAGGAGGAGGGGAGGAGGGAGGTAGGAGGAGGAAGAGGAGAAAGGAGGAGGAGGAGGAAGGAGGAGTGAAAAAAGGAGGAGGAGGAGGAGGAGGACGAGGAGGAGAAGGAGGAGGCGGAGGAGGCAGGAGGGGGGGGAGGAGGAAGGGGAGGAGTAGGAGGAGGATGAGGGGAACCCGCTCAGGGGGGGAAAAGTCGACCTGGAATCGGCGACACATCGCCGAGGGATCGGCGATGGGCTACCGATGGAGAAGCCGCACGCTCCTGGGGCGCGGTGAACTATTGGGCACCTGTCGGCGATCAATGGGCGATTGGGGGCGATACATCCCTAACGTTGCCCTTGAGGAGAGGCATCGAAGCTCGAGGGTTGAGGTTATTCTTATGGACGCCTGTATGCTTACAGCTATGTCTATACATACCCATGTCTAACGATATGCATGCCTGATATGTGTATAACTATACATACATACATACATACATACATACATACATACATACATACATACATACATACATACATGCATGCATACATACATACATACATACATACATACATGCATACATACGTACGTACATACATACATACATGCATGCATGCATGCATGCATGCATGCATGCAGTCATACACACATACATGCATGCATACATATAGACATACATACATACATACATACATACATACATACATACATACATACATGCATACATACATACATACATACATACATACATACATACATACATATATACATACATACATACATACATACATACATACATACATACATACATACATACATACATACATACATACATACATACATACATACATACATACATACATACATACGTATGTACATGTATACATACATACATAAATACATACATACATACATACATACATACATACATACATACATACATACATACATACATGCATACATGAGGTTACGTCCTAGAAACATCGCGCGCGCTTCGCGCGCGCTCAAATTCTAGCTAGGCTGGATGGTCGAACTCTTGGGGATCTCTATTATATGATGCTTCTTCTCCAGGGGGTCCCAGAACCACGAAGACGGCCAAAGTGGCTTCCAAGACTGCCTAGGGTCCACCCACGGCGGCCCAACAAAGGCCCAAGAGGCACTTCGGGGGCCTTCTATTCGCAGCGGCCGGACGTAGCCAGAGGACGACGGATGAAAAAGACAGGTGAAGGGGTCCCTTAGGGGAGGGGGAGACGGAGGAGGAGGAGGAGGAGGAGGAGAAGAAGAGGGGGTGGAGCCTGTGCATGTTGTGTGCGATTGTAAGATGGTCGTCGATACCTGGAATGCAGGGGTCGGCCAGACCCTGGACAATGTTGCGTACGCCGAGGTTTGGCGCGAGATTTTCCGCAAGTGTGAAGATTTGACTGCGCCTGTCACTGTCGAGAAAATTCGCAGCCACCAGTCTTGGGCTAAGGCGGCTGCTCAGGGGTGTGCTTGGTGGGCCTGGAGAGGCAACCGAGAAGCAGATCGCCTGGCCAAGCTAGGAGCCAAGATGCACCCTGTCTCTCCGCAACTGTTGAATGAGCTGAAGGCCCTGGATTTCCAGGTTCGGGGCCGTGCCGTCTTGGTTGCGGGAGTCGGGGGAGCGTTGGCCAAGCTGAATTTCAACGATGCGGACAAGTTCCGCGCGAAGCGGTACAAAGCACCAGAAGTGTTGGAGCTCGTGTCCGAGGCCAATGGACATGAGATAGTTCGAGCGGGCAAGAGATCCGCTTGCGTGATTTGTGGAATTCGAGATTGGTCGAGAGGCGCCATAGCGGCGTTTCCGTGCACTGGCCTCCCCAGAACAGCTCGCTTGGCCCACCCCTCCCATAGACTTTGGAGCGGAGAAGGAGGCCGAGTGTGGTGCAGTCTCTGTGGGGCGTTCGGCACTAAGAAGGTGGTCCTCCTCGCCAAGGCCTGCAACGGAGGGCCTCGGAATAAGGGTGCGTCTCAATCTCTTGGCCTCCTGAAAGGAGGGGTGGACCCTTCTACGGGGGTGGAATTCGGACGATCTTTCCCCCTTAAGAGAGAGTGACCCCTTCCCTCAGTGCCGTGCGTGGTTTTATTACCCCAGTTTGTGTGCCATGTGTTGCAGCAGCGGGACATGGTGCGCCAAGGACCTAGAGGACCTAGAGGAGGAGGAGAAGAAGAAGGAGGAGGCCGCAGAGGAGGAGGAACAGGAGGAGCAGGAAGAGGAGGAGGAGGAGGACGAGGAAATACCATACTTCCTTGCAAGCGTCGACAAGCTGCCCGAATTTGAAGAAAAAAGGACATGTTGGACTTACCTTTTTTCAATTGCCCTCGGGGCCTCTTTTGGGACTCCTTGGGGCCTCTTTGGAGCTGTGGGGGGGCCTCTTGAGGCCTCCTGGGGGTGTCCTGAGACGAAGATCTCGGATTATCGGTTCACGTTCCCGATCCTGGGCCACGGTTGGGGTCCTCTGGGGCCATCTTGAACGTCTCTTCGGCCGTTTTGGAGCCGTCTTGGGGCGCTTTTGAAGCCTATTGGGCCGTCTTGGGGCGATCCTCGGAGCCTCTTGGGGCGTCTTGCAGCGTCGGGAAGCAGAACAGGCGGAAACGCCAAATGGATCAAAAGCATAAGCAATATCAGTGTTGTTTGGCATCTTCGAGCTCTCTTGGGAAGGCTCTTAGAGGCCTCTTGGGTATTTGGGGCCGTCTGGAGGCCGTCTTGGGCATCTTGGACAGCCGAATGGCCTTCGGCCCATCCCGCCACCGTGCCCGGGCTGTGGGTTAGAGGCCTCTTGGAAGTTCGTTTGAATATCGTGGGAGGCGGGGGCCTTTTGGAGGCAGGTTTGGAGGCCTCTTGGGGGACCGTTGGGAAGCCTCTTTGGGAGCCTCTTCGGGGCCTCGTGGGGCCTCTAGGGGGCCTCTTGGGCTCTCTTGAAGGCCTCTTGGGGCCTCCAGGGGGCCTCTTGAGGCGGAAAGCTCGAATTGTCGGTTCGTGTTCCCCCTCTTGGCAACTCTTGGGGCCGTGTTGGGACAATCTTGGACGCCTCTTGGGCCGCCGTGTTGGGGCCCTCTTGGACCGTCTTGGGGCCCTCCGGGGGCCTCTTGGGCCGTCTTGGGATGGTCTTGGGGGCATCTGGGGCCATCTTGGAGCATCAGAGGCCCATAACGCGAGAACGCGAAAAACATAGAAAAACAAGGACAATCACTGGTGCTTGCCCCTTCGGGCTTGGGGCCATCTTGGGCGTCTTGGCGCGATCTTTAGCCGTCTCGGGGCCCTGTTGGACCATCTTGGGGGCCTTCTGGGGCCGTCTTGGAGGCTCCTTGGGCCGTCTTCAGGCCCCTTGGAGGGCCCGGGGAGGGGGTAGCAAAAAGTTGTCCAGGCCTGCGGCGTGTTTTTTATATACATTACACACACGTGCATCTATACATCTATATATATATATATATATATATATATGTATACACATATGTGTGTGTATGTGCAAACATATATATATATATATACATACATACCTGCATGCATATAGAAACACACCTATACATATGTGGGTAAGTATACATACATACAATCAAACATGCATACATATGTACGTGCAGGCATATACATATATAAATGATGTATGCATGTGTGTATGTATGTATGGGTGTGTACTCGCGTAGATACATGGATACGGATATGGATGTGGATATGGATGTGTCGATGTATGTATATCTAGATGTGTAAATGCATATGTAAATGTATGCGTATATGTTTATAATCAGGTATACGTGCAACGATGTATGTGTATGTGTATGTGTGTATGCATGTATATGTATATATATATATATGTATATGCCTGTATGTATGTATGTAAGTGTACATGTGTACAAATATATACACACATGTGTGGATTCGCCAGAATGGGCACAGGCAATGTGTTTTTAGCCATCGATGTGGTGCAATATGTGTGGAACCATACTTTTGTGCAATATACGTGAGCGGGGTAATCTATGATGTGCAACCAATGTTGTTCAATATATGTTGTGCTATACATGTCGTGCAACACAGGTGTGCAATTTATGTGATGCAATCTACATGGCGCAATCTATGATGTGCGATCTACGTCGTGCTATCTACGTGTTGCAATCTACGTGATGCAATTCACTTATGCCCAACTTGAAGTTGTCCACCCCACTGCTCGCGCAATCATCCCACCCACCCACCCGCAACTTGGTTTGCAAAACACATGCAGAGGCGATTGCGATGAGTGCTTGGCGTTGGCTGGTGCATCTCGGCGGCCGCGCCAACCTATCCATGCACGCGCGTGCAGCGGCCAGCTAATTTGGCGCACCCGACGCGGCCGCGGTGGCGCTGACCGCTGGGCACATCCCAGCGGGCACTTCAGTGCGAGTCGGCGACTTGGGCGGGCGCGGTATCATGGCAACGTCGACAACGGCAGACGCAACGATGAGATCGGCGGCGTTGGTGACGAGAATGACAAC